ATGTGGCTCGGAAAGTCTGTCCTTTTTAAGCCCCGGTGAGGAATAAATCTGGGACCGCATCCAGCCAAGACTTCAAATCCATCTTTTCTCTTTGGTTTCTAATTAGCTGTTAACAGATGACTCATCCCTGAGACAGAAGGGAGAGGGGCATGTGGCAGTGTGCAACAAAGCTTGATATCAAACCTTTACGCCACCTTGTCCATTTTTTTTCTTTTTATTATTAGTTTTACTTATTTATTTCCAGGTAAGTGTTTTCTTTCCTTTTTTTTTCCTGCATGCTTCAGATCAGGTTTGAGCTGATCTCAGTTGAACTCTTAATAAGCCTCCTCATTTCACGGCATGCAGCTCAGAGATTAGATCTGACAGGGTAGGCATGGGTTGCTACTGATGCTTCAGATCTGCAGGCTAAGCTCCAGATTGGAAACATTCCAAAGCGTGCAGCAGCTTCAGCTTCAGCTTCAGCTTCAGCTTCAGCAAGTACCGGGGAACAAATAGGTGAAACTGCTTGCTCCCCTTACAACCAGCCACCTGCTGGAACAAGCTTCAACCTTCATTCTCCTTCTCAGAAACACACCTAACAAAGAGAGTTTTATGGTTTTATAAAGAAAAAAACGGAAAAGTGAAATACTAAAACTTTTTGGTTGCCAGATCTTGGTGGTATTTCCCCCATATTCCAACAGCTGTTGGTTTGAGCTAAAGTGCTGACCTGTGATGGACTTGCATCAGTATGACCTCATAGATTACATCCCTCTTTTATATTTCTTCACAAACCTAAAGACTCCAGAGTTATATTTTGTCTTTATATGTGGAGGAAAGCAAACAAAAATCATATTAAATAAGGATTATTCACGTAGTCCGTGACAGTTTTCCATCTCAGTATATACCTGTGATTTCTTTTCACTTTTATGGTCGTTATTTATTGTTTCTCAGCTCCACAAATCGTGGCCATCAATCTTCCTGTCAGGCTTTTCTTTTTTTCTTTTTTTTTTTGTACACTTTGTATTAAACCAAGCAGTTTTTTTATTTTATAAATGTGGAATCATGCTGACCCCCTGAGGTTCAAAAATAGAACTACACATAGTCTGAACTTCAATCTTAAAACAGGGTCAATAGAATTCACTCAGTGGCAAAAAAAATGTTACAAAATAAAAGAGAAAAAAGTTCAGATTTTGTAATTCTGTTTTACCTGAATGTTCTCAACAAAAAAACATGGAAAAAGAACTTTAAATAATTTTCAAGTCCAATTTTATACAATAAAACCTAACTATTGTGTTTTGACAAAACTTTTATGAAAATCATTATTGTTTATTTTGCGTGTTTCCCTTTCATCCCTTCAACTCACCTGCCAGGCCAGCATTGTATATAAGAATGTGTTCTTAATGTTCACCTACTTAAATAAGGGTCAAATAAATAGAATTAATTAATTAAGCTTATAATCCAGTTTAAGTTCAACAAAATAACACACAAACAAATTCTGCAGTTTCTTTCATGGATTTCTTTGAAGGTGGGGTTCTGTGGAAAAGTTGTGAACAATTAATATCTCACCTGTTGTAAACAAAACTTCAATGACCTCAGTTTGGAGAAACAGTTTAATTATCATAATTCAGATAATCCARTGGCTAGTTTAAGTGCAATCAAGACAAAATCAGATTTTGTGCCAACTTAAAGCAACTTGTTTCAAAAGTTTAAAAATATGTTCTCATGAGTTCATGTGAACACTGCTTTGTARTTACTTATYTAGCAGCACAGAAACTTTTTCTCTCCACATTGATTAAAACTTTGGAAGACTTGTCCATCCAGCCTCACATGTTGGAGCCAGAGTCTGCAGAGCCAGAAGAAAATGAAGAAGACGAACCTGCAGAACTGCGGATTTGCAAAATTGGTTAGCTGGAAGTCTGTGTCCTTATTTAGCAGTTTTCATCAAATACTGTGACGATATTATTCAGAAAACTGAACGGACTGAAAAACATGGCCCAAACAGAATATAAAGTTATCTATGCAGCTCCAGGGGAGACTAATTTAAACTTTTCTTGCTAAAAAGTATTTTGCATGAAATGTCATTCAAAATGTTATCTTCACCAAGTAAGATGATGATTTTTCACAACCTTTCCATGGAGCCCACATACAAAATATCAAATCCACTCAAATATAGTATTTAAATAAAAGCATAGTGAAAAGTATCAAATTTGCACATCTTTTTCTTTAAAATAACACAGCTTAAACTGCTTTGATCAAGCATCTCGTGTATAAAAAGATCTGGTAGGTTTTATTGCCTGAAATCAAACTACTTGGAGATGTTAGAAAGAAAACATCATGTCATGAAAAGACAGAGAAAACCAAATTTGTTAGATTTTATTTTGTGTTTCCTAAGCACAGATGAGTGAGGACAGGTTGTCTAAAGTCTGATCACCTTCACAGTTTGCAACTATTTTCAYTTCATGGCGAACAAAAGAGGAGAAATGAGACCTGGGAGATTTCCTATAAAAAGATAATTATCCCTCTCCTCGTCATGAGTTTCTCATTCAGAGTCACTCTTGTTGTCTGGTAACCAACCAGGGTTAAAATAAAATAATAATAAGAAGAAGAAGGGAACAAAACTAAAAGCTCAGTACAGTGTTTGCAAATCATCATCATTTTCATCATCTGAATGTTTTCCAGGCATAATAATGAAAAGAAGCAGGAGACGGAAGATGTGCTGTATTCATGTAGGTCTGCTTTTAAACTGTGGTTGCATTAACCCCAGACTTCCAGCTGAGATGCAGGGTGATGCAATAAAGATGACATGTTGACTCTGAGAGGAGGCTGCAGGCTGACAGGGAGACACCAAACTGGGATACAYGCAGCTCATCAGGAAAAATAAAACTGCATGTCAGGTCGACAACAAGGGTTGGAAGGATGAACAGAAGAAGACCACGATTACTGCTCAGGGATGTAGAAAATATAGTTTTCACTAGTTTAAACTACATTAACGTGAGAAATAAGATGGATATGCAAACGTTTTAAATTTGTAATGATTAGCTATCAGTGTTGTAGCTATTTTGTGTTAACGAKTAGCTGTGGTGGCCATTTTAAACTGATCCATTGATCCTTTCCTGTGAGTTTTATTCAAATCAGTCCAGGAGTTTATGAGATATTTTGCTAACAGACAAACGTGATTTGCTTCAACAGTTACTGCCATGTTTTAAGTAAAATTTTACACATGGTATGGTAAAACTGGTATGTGGTCAGAGGATTTTAAATGTAAAGTTTTCTAGAAATTATTGACAGCCTCTCTGATGGCGTGGAGGTTCATCATGCACTTTTTTTGATCAGTTACTGTATTCTTGTGAAACAACTTGTGCTTTATGCAAGGTCTGTTTGACAAGTGGTCTTGTTTATTATAGCAAGACAGCAGAAATTTGCACATAATGTAAAACGAGGTTTTTTTTTTTTTTTTTTTTTTAGTATTCAGCTTTAAAAGAAAGAGCAGGGATAAAAAGATCCTAAACAGTTATGGATCAGTAATTATATATAT